AAGACACTCTCTACACTCACTCACACCGCCAATTTTACAGGGATTCCACCGTCACCGGCACTGTCGACTTCATCTTCGGAAACGCCGCCGTCGCTCTCCAGCGCTGCAAAATTATTTCCCGAAAGGGCATGAGGGGCCAGAAAAACATGGTAACGGCTCAAGGCCGAACCGACCCAAACCAAAACACCGGGACCTCGATCCACAATTGCGAAATCTTTGCCAGCCCAGATCTTGAGCCCGTTAAGGACTCGTTCCCGTCGTATTTGGGCCGTCCGTGGAAGGAGTATTCCAGGACTGTTGTTATGCAGTCTTACATTGGTGACCTTATTGATCCAGCTGGGTGGTTCGAGTGGGACGGGGATTTTGCACTGAATACGTTATACTACGGGGAGTATGCAAATAGAGGCCCAGGTGCTGGAACTAGCAAGAGGGTTAAGTGGGCCGGCTATCATGTAATTACCAGCCCGGATGAGGCCCAAAAGTTCACAGTGGCGGAGCTGATACAAGGCGGTCCTTGGTTAGAGTCCACTGGGGTGGATTACACGGAGGGGTTGTACGTGTGATGTGGAAATGCTCAAAGTTTATATGTATGTCAAACTATTTGTTTCATAATAATAATAATGATTGCCATTTCCTATGGGTCTCTATTTATAAGATTACTTTGTGAACGTTTAGTTCATGGATTCAGAACTATGATTCAGAATCATTTTCAATTTACGTGTACACTATAGCGAACTATGAACTATGATTCAAATCACGGTTCGAATCCTCTTATCTTTGAGTTCGTAAGAGTTGTAATAGGTCTGCTCATGAAGTAAGTCGTGGGCTTAAAACTGTATTGCCTTCGGCTACTTTTGTGTTCCTGATGTAACCTCTCATATGACGCGAGCCTTTTTGGCAGATCTTTACTGAATTAACTTCTACGTTTGAGTAGCAAAAATAAAATCAAAATGCTGTAGATTACTAGTGGTAATCGATTAGATTATTCTGGCAATTGACACTGGGCGACAATAAAAAAATAAAAAAAAAAGAGCGACATAATCTCATAGGTAATTCGTTCACAAGATAGGTCTGTGGTAAAACATCATGGTAAAAGGCTTTTGAAGATTACTTCAATTCTTGTTACAGATACATTGGCCATTTAGGACAAAGCCCGGGTCGCAGGGTTGTTAGTTTACCAATTCATCCTAAAAGTTTAAGCTGCTAAGAGGTAGGTCAATAATAATTTTATACTTTAACACTCCCTCTCACTTATGAGATGGATAATTGGCAATCGTATGGGTAAATTAATTGGAAAGCCCAACACGTGAATATTTAAGCCCGAGGTATATTAAAAACCCGACACATAATAATTTTAAATGGGGATAAAAAGTACAATTACGGAAGTTTGAACTCAGGACTTCCCGCTCTGATATCATGTTAGTTTACCAATCCATCCTAAAAACTTAAGCTGTTAGGAGGTGGGCCAACAATAGTTTTATACTTTAATACAGGGTTTTGCCCCTGAAGTCATGGCTCCATTGTGTCTTCCCGAGACATGGAATGCAATGGAGGGCTTGTATGCATCTGGCTGGGCTCGAGCCATCGATGTGAGCAACTTCTCAACTAAGAAACTTGAACACCTGCTTTCCTATGCTTGCAGTCAATCAGGTTGAGTGTCACCCTGTGTGGCAGCAACCCACTCTTCATAACTCGTGCAAATCCACTGGTGTTCATCTCTCGGTATGATTCCAAAACTTGTTCTTACAAAAGTTGTTATATATATATATATTATTCTTCTTTGTATTATCCATATTATTGCTAACATTTTTCATCTTTAGATGTACCACATAAATAAAATGACATGATACGCCCAGTTCACCAAATAATTTCTTGATAAACAGTAAGTACAACATGAAATATAACCTGTGAATTGATCGCCAAAAGGAAAAAAAAAACTAATAAACACAAATGCACGTGCAAAGCACGTGCTTTCCTTTTCCTGGTTATGAGTAGAAATCCTTTTGTCAATCTTGTTATTGGCTATTAAAATTGTAAAAAAAATAAAAAATAAAATAAAATCCTCTTTATTTAACTATTTATGTCATGCCCCGAAGTCGGGGTTAGTGACGTGCAGGCTCGATTAGGAGTTAAACGTGATTAAGAATAAAATATTAAGAAAATTCCCAAACGAGCCCCACATTTCCTTGAAAATAAATTTTAACATCATTCAGGGCTTCACCCACAGGATATGCAGTATTGTACATACATGAACACATAAATAACATTACAGATATCAACCACAGTCTAGAAATCCAGAGATGTAGAGTTTACAGAGGTTACAATCCTTAGATTCGTACACAGGGAGGATGATCACAATCCTCACCAAATCAGCTAGTAGCAACTAACTCTGCTACTCCGCACTGCTCTTAGAGTCGCCTGGGAAGGGTTGATATTCATAAAATAATAAAACATGAGCGAAAGGACCAGTATGATATATTTTGAAATAACTTTGTAAATAAGTAAATAAATGAGTAAACAAGTAAATAAATAAATGAATACGTAAATAAGACATTCAGTTCCAACACAACAGTCAGAACCTCACATTCTTTTTCTCAAAAGAAATATAACTGAAAATCTCCGCATTACAGGCATCAGCAAGTAATTTATACTATGATAAATTACTTATACAACCACATGCACAAGTCATATCACCCACGGGCCGAATTTCAGGTTCTGCCCCCAAGGATGCACTCTCCACATCCTATCTAGGCTATCAGCCGGTTTACCAATTCACAAGATCTCTTATCTTAAGATATCATTCATTAAATTTTATGAAACAGTTCATTATAATTCCAAAAGTTAAAATCAAAATATTGTTTTTAAACATGCTTTTCTTTCGCAAACATGCCCTTTCTTTAAAACATTTGCAAGGCCAAACTTCTTTTGAAAACAGGCTCACAAAGAAAATGGTAAGAAATCCTACCTCTCAAATACTAAACCTGTGGCTAGCGTTGCACTATTCCGGCTTTTGCTTCCTCAAAGCCCCTTAATCCGAGTCCTAAGCTAGCACTGATACAAAACCACGCTTTAGGATCCAGTTCACATTCCTAAAGCAATTTCAATCACAATTATACCATTTGATTTCCTATTAGTGTGCCTTAATCCAATTACCGGTTTCACAAACCATTTCATGTTTCAAATCATCATTCCAAGGGTTTTCAATCTCAAAATATGGATTAAAGATGCTAATCCATTCATTCTAGGTCCCCAAATAAAGCTAATTTGGGTTTTCTTTAAAAACCGAGGTCAAAACAGGGTTTTTCAACAAAACAAGGTCAAATCCCGTGTACACCGGTCGACCGGTGACAGAGCAGTGTAACACCACCGGTCAACCGGTGGTGTGCACTTCGGTCGACCACATAGGTCGACTGGTGGAATTAGTGCAGTCTGGTCGACCGTACAGGTCGACATGTGGAGAACAGCAGGGCGAGAAAACTCGCCAAAATCAGTCTGAAAACCTACAATTTCAGTTCCAATTCGAAATATCTCAAGGGAAAATAACTAGATCCAGGTTCTAAGTACTGAATCAAGTCCAAAGAACCTAAGATCTTCAATTTCTACCATGGTTTTACTCAAAAATCCATCAAGATCCATTTCGAACCAAAAATAAGTTTTTAAATCCGAAAAATCTGAGATTCAAGAGAAGTTTTTCAGAAATCTTACCTCGAATCCTTCTCTTGGCATTGAAAACTTCTTGAAATCATTCTTTGGTTCAAAATCCAGTTGGTTTGAGACAAAAACGGGAGAGAGAGGGAATGAGAGAACGAAGAGAGAGAGAGAGAGAGAGTATGCACGGGAAAAGAAAAGAAAGGAAGGAAAAGGAAAAGGAAAGAAAAAGGAAAAAGAAAAGGAAAAGGAAAAGAAAAAGGACATGTGTCACAAAATATTTAAAGACAGTCTAGAAAATGTGCTCACACACACTTCTGGGTAAAAATATAAATACTGAGAATATTTAAATACCTTGAAATTATTTAAATTTACACGTCAGAAACATTTAATATCCAATAATTAATTAATTAAATCAGATTAGGCGCACTAATAAATCTCAATTTCCTTAATCTATCTCGTTTAATTCTTCAGAGTGTTACAATTTATTTTTAGATTAATTTTAAAAATTTCCCCGGAACTATGACACTTTTAACATTTTGGCCCCCAAATTTTGAAAAGTAACATTCGTTTCTCCTTAACTTTGTTTTGATAACAAGTTTTCCTCTTTTGTTACAATGAGTGATAGAATTCGCCACGTATCAGGCACAAGACTCATCTAAGGAGGGTATTATCATAAATTAACATGCAACAACCCTTCAAAGCATTAAAGAAATAAAACTGAGATCTTGAACAACATAAAGACCAGGAAAAAATAATAAAGAACAATGAATCCAAACGGAATCATCGGAGTTAAAAGGCTCGAGACAGATACTGCAAGAGTCTTCTTCGAAGTTGTCGTCGGAAGGAGGCGGTAATTGTGATGAAGACGAAGACGAAGCTATGATCGCCATTGAATTCTCTGCATAACCAGAAGAAGACGAAGATGAAGAAGAAGCGAAAGCCGCCATTGAAGAGTGAAAGTGAAGGAGTGATATGCAATGCTGAAGAGAGAGAGAGAGAGTTTATGGAAGAGAGAAGAAGTAGAATGGAGGTGAAGAAGAAAGGATTAAGGAACCCTAGAAAAAATGGTAGAGAGGGAAAGAAATTATCTGATAAGGAGAGTATAAGCATAATTACACTTTTAATTCTCACTAAATAAGTATGACGTGACAATTCTGCCACTTATTATAACAAAAGAGAAAAACTTATTAACAGAATAAAGTTAAAGAGGAATAAATGTTACTTTTTAAAATTTAAGGAACAAAATATTAAAAGTGTCATAATTTACTAGGAATTTTGGAAATTTGTCCTTTATTTTTTTATTACCTAAAGAGCACCACTGAACCTCAATACAAGGCCTTTGTCTTTGCGTCTTAAACCCTCTTGAGTCTTGACTCTTCCCAAAACCCTATAAACCCTTCCCTTAACCTCATTAGACCTTTTTCATTTATTTGGCTTTAGAGACGAAGAAGACCATGGCTCAGGCTTTCTACTCCGTACTCCGAAGGGCGTCCTCCTCCGTACTTCCCGTCGCAATCCGCACCGCCGGAGCTTCGAGAACCTTCCACGCCGCCGCCGCCGCCACGCTCCAGAAGGGCAATCTCAGCCGCGATCTCACCCGTGGAAGCTTCGTTCCATTTCTTAGATTCTCTTCGGAGTCTGCCGCCAAGCGCAGAGCCGACGAGAATCTCCTCCAGGTCGTCGAATCCGAGATCGAGTGCGCCGAGGAAACCGAGGATCAGAATACCGTTCGTACTTAATTCTGTTTCTCCATTTATAATTTTTGTTTTTGTTTCTATTAATTAATGTTTCGGTTTTGTTTTGTATTCTCTGTTTGTTGTTGATTAATTGTATGTAGTTTTGGTTGGTTTAAATGATGTTATTGTCATGCTTATAGTTCGTTTCACTAGTTGGAATCACAAATCAAGTTTTTACTACATTGTATTCTCTCATACAAATTTAAATTAAACTCTTCTGTTATAATATTTTCTCTCATATGAATTCACATTCGAACTAGCGAAACGAAAGGCCTAGTAAACTCAGGATTTTGCTTTTCTTAAGGTTCCATTTTACTTGTAACTTGGCTCTTTCTTTTGTAGAAAAAAGGGTTCCGAAAATTGTTAGATACTAATGTTCTGTATGTCATAAATTGCTGTGTTTTGAATTCTTCGTTCAATTCTAATTTTTTGCTAAATAAATGCATAGAGAATTAGAACTAGATTGGTGAACAACATATGAATACCTTAAATTTTGTAATGTGTACTAGGAAAATGCTTGACAGTGGGCTGAACCAATAAAGTTGTCTGTACCTATTACTTATTCGTAAGCTTTTAGAAATTTTATTACCCCTTCTCAATCCAGGAAATATACTTTTCTCTCTCTCAACATCTAATTTGAATTGTTCTTGCCAACTTGTAATTTCACCTATTCTGATAGGTTCTTGACTCTGGATGCTAGGCTACAACTATAGCTTTGTTATAGGAGTTGTCTTAATCTGTCAGAGAAGCAAGTTCCCTTTTTGTAATTTTCGTTTTCTGATAATCTATTTATGTCCTTTGCTTTTTCCTGCCTTAAAATGTGTTGTCTTCGTAGATGGAGAAGATTCCAAAAGGATTTCTTTTTAAAATTAAAGACAACCCTGGAGAAAGGACTATTCTACTTAAGAGAAAGTTCGAAGATGAAATTATCAAAGTTGAAGTCGACATGCCCGATGTCTCTGGGGATGATGAGGATGAGGATGAGGAAGATGGTAAGGATGATGCCGTTAATTTTAGCATTCCTCTGGTTGTAAGTATCTCCAAAGGCAATGGAGTGCAACTGGAGTTTGGTGTCACTGCCTTCCCCAGTGAGATTACCATAGATAGCTTGTCAATTGAGCAGCCGGATGATTCTCTGGAGGGGCTTTCGTACGAAGGACCTGAATTCAAGTAAGATTCCGAAGAATGAATTTCAGTTTTGATCCTCTTTAACTCCTTTATGGTTTTATCAACTGTGTGGTATAATCTTTTGTTTTTTTCTCATTCTCAGTGATTTAGATGAAAACCTACAGAAGGCTTTTCACAACTATCTTGAGGTTCGGGGGATCGAGCAAAACATAACGAATTTCTTGCACCAGTATATGATTGCCAAAGACAGCAAAGAGTACATGAACTGGTTGAAGAATCTCAAGGATTTTGTTGAGCATTAAACAACTCAAAAACAGTTGTATTAGGTAGCAAACAGTAACCTTAATCTATGGGAATAAAGATCAAGACTTGAGATTCAAATAAAATAATCTGCTCGGCGGAGTTGAATTCCGTCGAACATTTCTGTGGCAAAAATTTAAGTTTATTGGGAACCTTGTTGAACCTTTTTTTTCCAGGTTCATATATTTTATTGTTGTCTTTGTTCAAGTGTGCAGTTGATGATGCAAAAATCCCCTGGTTGATCTATTTAAAACATGCTTAAATCGAATTCAATATGAGCAAAATGCTTGACATATTGGGTATGATGGTCAGCTCTCTAAGCATATTTTAATGAATTAGCCCTAATTGTATCTGTTTTATGTGACCTCTTGAAGATTCACCCGCTCTTAAGATTGAAGAAACTTGAGGCAACAATGCTAAGGTTCTTGCATGTAGTTAATGAGAAATTATTTGATTAGGAAGGTATAAACGTAATTACACTTTCAATTATTACTAAATAAATGACGCGTGGTAATTCCGTCACTTTTTGTAATAAAAAATGAAAACTTATTAACAGAATAAAATTTGAAAAGAATAAATATTATTTTTTAAAATTCAATGAGTAAAATATTAAAAGAGTCAGTAATTCATGAAATTTTTTTGAAATTAGTCCATATTTTTTTATTACTTAAAGGGCACCACTGAACCTCAATACAAGGCCTTTGTCTTTGCGTCTTAAACCCTCTTGAGTCTTGACTCTTCCAAAACCCTATAAACCCTTCCCTTGACCTCATTAGACCTTTTTCATTTATTTGGCTTTAGAGACGAAGAAGACCATGGCTCAGGCTTTCTACTCCGTACTCCGAAGGGCGTCCTCCTCCGTACTTCCCGTCGCAATCCGCACCGCCGGAGCTTCGAGAACCTTCCACGACGCCGCCGCCGCCACGCTCCAGAAGGGCAATCTCAGCCGCGATCTCACCCGTGGAAGCTTCGTTCCATTTCTTAGATTCTCTTCGGAGTCTACCGCCAAGCGCAGAGCCGACGAGAATCTCCTTCAGGTCGTCGAATCCGAGATCGAGTGCGCCGAGGAAACTGAGGATCAGAATACCGTTCGTACCTAATTCTGTTTCTCGAATTATAATTTTTGTTTTTGTTTCTATTAATTAATGTTTCGGTTTTGTTTTGTATTCTCTGTTTGTTGTTGATTAATTTTATGTAGTTTTGGTTGGTTTAAATGATGTGACAGTGGGTTGAACCAATAAAGTTGTCTGTAACCTATTACCTATTAGTAAGCTTTTAGAAATTTTATTACCCTTTCTCAATGCAGGAAATATACTATTCTCTTTCTCTCAAAATCTAATTTGAACTGTTCTTGCCAACTTGTAATTTCACGTATTCTGATAGGTTCTTGACTCTGGATGCTAGGCTACAACTATAGCTTTGTTATAGGAGTTTTCTTAATTTGTCAGAGAAGCAAGTTCCCTTTTTGTAATTTTCTTTTTCTGATAATCTATTTATGTCCTTTGCTTTTTCCTGCCTTAAAATGTGTTGTCTTCGTAGGTGAAGGAGATTCCAAAAGGATTTCGTTTTGAAATTGAAGACAACCCTGGAGAAAGGACTATTCTACTTACGAGAAAGTTCGAAGATGAAATTATCAAAGTTGAAGTCGACATGCCTAATGTCTCTGGGGACGATGAGGATGAGGATGATGGTAAGGATGATGCTGTTAATTTTAGCATTCCTCTGGTTGTAAGTATCTCCAAAGGCAATGGAGTGCAACTGGAGTTTGGTGTCACTGCCTTCCCCGATGAGATTACCATAGATAGCTTGTCAATTAAGCAGCCGGATGATTCTCTGGAGCGGCTTTTGTACGAAGGACCTGAATTCAAGTAAGATTCCGAAGAATGAATTTCAGTTTTGATTCTCTTTAACTCCTTTATGGTTTTATCAACTGTGTGGTATAATCTTTTGTTTTTTCTCATTCTCAGTGATTTAGATGAAAATCTACAGAAGGCTTTTCACAACTATCTTGAGGTTCGGGGGATCGAGCTAAACACAACTAATTTCTTGCACCAGTACATGATTGCCAAAGACAGCAAAGAGTACGTGAACTGGTTGAAGAATCTCAGGGGTTTTGTTGAGCATTAAACAACTCAAAAACAGTTGTATTAGGTGTAGCAAACAGTAACCTTAATTTGTTATTTGTCCTGCTTTTCTGATAGTTCCTTGTCTGGAATCACGTCTATGGGAATAAAGATCAAGGCTTGAGATTCAAAGAAAATAGTCTGCTCGGCGGAGTTGAATTCCGTCGAACATTTCTGTGGCAAAAATTTAAGTTTATTGGGAACCTTGTTGAACCTTTTTTTCCAGGTTCATATATTTAAATGTTGTCTTTGTTCAAGTGTGCAGTTGATGATGCAAAAATCCCTTGGTTCATCTTTTTAAAACATGCTTAAATCGAATTCAATATGAGCAAAATGCTTGACATATTGGGCATGATGGTCAGCTCTCTAAGCATATTTTAATGAATTAGCCCTAATTGTATCTGTTTTATATGAACTCTTGAAGATTATGTTTTAATGAATTAGCCCTAACGTTCTTGCATGTAGTTAAAAGGAGGACATTTGAATTCACGCCTTTTCAATTGAAATTTGCCTTTTGCTTCCGCTTGCCATTTTGTCTTTTACTAGTTTTATAACAACCAAACGGTTTGATTTTGTTTTTGTTTTTTTAATAATAAATTATACATATAAGCTTTTCCCATTGAACTTGGTTCAAAAATCAAGACATTGACCATTCAAAAAAAGAAAAAAAAATCAAAACGTTAAAGATAAATGTCCGGATCGGTTTGTGTTTTGTACTCCTTTTGACCTTTAGAAAATGACGGATAATTTCAAATTTTTAAAAGATTGTCCATCGTGCCTTTTAGTAAATGAGATACGCCTCGTGAAATTAGTTTTGGTTCACATTTTTCTTCTTTTTATTTGAATTTAAATGTAGTTGTGAATTGTGATAATGGGAATGTGGGATTTCGTCGAAGATTCTAATTTTGTACCATGAACCTCTATCCCATATTTAAATTGATTTTCCGATAAGATTGGACATGAAAAAACCAGATTGCCCCCCTATTTGTAATTAATAACTTGGTCCAAAAATAACTTCTCTTCACAAACGCCGAATCCAAAAGAGGTAAAATCTAAATTCTTGATTAAGATATCTCTAATGTAAATATTGTTAAAAATATTAAGATACTATTTTAATATTATTAAAAACATAATGTAGTAAGAGCAAGTGGCCGACCGCCATAGGGAACAAAGTTCGCGACCTTTAGTCGCGATCCTAGGGTTTGAAGCACCTTTGGGTAGAAGCCCATAACTGCCAATTGAGAAACACGGGCCTATTTGTGGGCCATGACTGATGAATTTATGGGAAATAGTAAGAAATATGCCACTATGAAAAGTTTAAGAAAGTATATAGGCCATTTTTTAGTTATAGAAATTAATAGGCCATAACTTGTCAAGTTATGGTTCATAACCAGACAAGTTATGGACGAAAACAATAATTTGACCTATTTATTAACTTATGTAAACTATTGGTCTATTAATTTTAATTCATCTCAAGTCTTGGCCTATTTCTTTCTTTCTCCCAAAGTAAAGCTACGGGCCTGACCTGCAGCTGTTGGGTTGCATAGGCCAGATTGGGCCTGTGGTTATGGCTGATGCATTTTTTATGCCATTTGGCGGTAATTTTGGGTTTTTTTGCCAAATTTTGAAAATTTAAGGAATTAAAAATCTTATTTTAGAGATTTTGGATATTTAAGTAATTTTAACCCATTAAGAAATTATGTGTAAATTAATTAAAGGAATTTAAAGATTTAATTAAATAAATGAAATTCCTGTTTCTATTTTGTTTTATTTAATTATTATCGCATTTAATTATCTTGTATTTTAAAATAAATTGATTAAAATAATATTGTTGTGAAAATAACTTTTTTTGTGGATGTTAATTTATTTTGGAATATAAAGATGTGTATATATGTTATTTATGTAAATAATGATCAGCTTAAAGGAAAGTTATTATTTTGTTAAATAATGGGTATACCTATGGTAATAAATATGTGACAATTATAAGGTTTTTTATGTGAGCAATAGTTGGCCTAAAGGAATGCTATTATTTGATAAAATTTATTATCAATATTTAATTACTGTGCAGAAAGTACCACTTACAAGTTAATATTTCTGATCCAAAGACTAACTATTAATGTTGTGTTAGGTATCTTGTAAATAGGTCTACCTTATTTCAGATTGTTTGTTTATGTCATGTTTACATTATATTTTTTGACTGTGCTTATGTTATAACAAAAAAAAAAAAAATCAAAACGTTAAAAGATAAAATGTCCGGATCGGTTTGTGTTTTTTACCTTTAGAAAATGACGGATAATTTCAAATTTTCAGAAGATTGCACATCGTGATACGGCTCGTGAAATTAGTTTTGGTTCACATTTTTCTTCTTTTCATTTGAATTTAAATGTAGTTGTGATAATGGGATTTCGTGCAAGATTCTAATTTTGTGCCATGAACCTCTATCTCCCATATTTAAATCCATTTTCCGATAAGATTGGACATGCCAGATTGCCTCCCTATTTGTAATTAATAACTTGGTCCAAAAATAACTTCTCTTCACAAACGTCGAATCCAAAAGAGGTAAAATCCTTTCTTTTTTTCACAAAGTTCTGAACCCAGAATTCTCAAAAAAAAAAAAAAAAAAAAAAAAGTGTTGAACCCAGAAGAAAAAAAAAAGGAAAAAAAATGAAATTCATCAGAACATAACGGATTCTTTTTTTTGTTTGTTTGATTATTCATATTTCTTTGTTTTTATCTAGGTTATCTTGGTTTTTTTTTTTTCCAATCTTGATTTGTTTTTTAACATGTCCAGAGGAAAATGGCTAATGACGCAAAATATGGACCTCTGCACTTTGATCTTAATACTGGGGCTAAGATCCCATCAGTAGGTCTGGGCACATGGAAAGCCGACCCTGGTGTTGTTGGTAAAGCTGTAATTACAGCCGTCAAGGTTATTTTCTTTGCCTTTTTTTTTTTTAAACGTAATATATGTTCTCCTTAAATAATAACATGTTAATAAAAAATTCTCACATTCACTTTGTTATTTTTAAGATATTTTAGAATTAAAACTAAATTAAATATTTTTAAAAAAACTTCATAAATTTTTTTATTCTACCAAAAAAGATTTATAAAATTTTTAACTTACATTCAATCAATAATGAATGTATCATAATTAAAAGTTTAAATTTAAATTAGTTTTAAATTCAAATTAAATTTTAAACATAGAACTACTAAAATACTTGTTAAAAAACTTAACAGATGGGGTTTTTTTATTAACATTTTATTATTTAGGAGGAAGAGATATTACGTTTTAAAGATTGAGGGTAAAGTGTTATAAGGGGTATAGTTCAGAGAGAATTTTTGTAATTAATCCTTAATATATATATATATATATATATGTATGTATGTGTGTGTACATGTATTATGTATATTAGTGCCGAATATTCGGACCACTAAGATTAGCTGCTCAATAAATGTGGTTTTTACGCAGAATGGTTATAGGCACATTGACTGTGCTCAAGTCTATGGCAATGAAAGAGAGGTAATATTGCATATTTAGCACATCTAAGCTATGGTATCTCTCCAGTCTGATTTTGCTAAGAACAAAATGCAGGTAGGTGTGGCTGTGAAGGAACTATTTTCCTCTGGAGTAGTTAAACGTTCGGAGTTGTTCATCACATCTAAGCTATGGTATCTCTCCAGTCTTTTTGTTTTTTCTTTTGGTTTTTTAACCTTCTAGTTGTTATTTAAGAGTTGGCTTCGATTGATATTTCAAAGCAACAACAATTCAAGAATCGCATTGCTTCTGAGTTATGATTTAAGAACAAAATATGCAATATACACTGCAGGTGCAGTAACCATGCACCAGAAGATGTCTCAAAGGCATTGAGCAAGACATTAGAAGATCTCCAGCTTGATTACATTGATCTGTATCTTGTACGCCTCAAATGCTCAAAAAACTTACAAGTTTTTAAGAATAAACATCATGGTAAAAGGCTTTTGAAGATTCCTTCAATTCTTGTTACAGATACATTGGCCATTTAGGACAAAGCCCGGGTCGCAGGGTTTTGCCCCTGAAGTCATGGCTCCATTGTGTCTGCCCGAGACATGGAATGCAATGGAGGGCTTGTATGCATCTGGCCGGGCTCAAGCCATCGGTGTGAGCAACTTCTCAACTAAGAAACTTGAACACCTGCTTTCCTACGCCAAAGTTCCACCTGCAGTCAATCAGGTTGAGTGTCACCCCGTGTGGCAGCAACCCGCTCTTCATAACTTGTGCAAATCCACTGGTGTTCATCTCTCGGTATGATTCCTTTCCAATTTTTCATCCTTAGGACATAATGTTGAGGATTATTCGTCACTAGTGGCCAAATGATAAAATTCTTGGGCTTATTTCTTCTTTGCTTTTCCCTACTACTCTGAATATATTTGAATAAAGAAAAAATACAAGTTCGGATAAAATGAAATGAATGATAGCTTTCTAAGGTCAGAGTGTGACTATTGTTTTCTCCATTGGGTAAGTGGAATTCATTTCGAGTTTTATTGTGACTGGAAGAAAAGAAAAGGAGTGCTGTACTTTTGTCTTGATTTAGTGAAAGTTTGATCAGAGTCTCTCATGGATTTAGATTGCAATCTAAAATTACTGTCATGTGTTTGTTTGTCCTTTTTTTTTCCATCTATTTCTCCCTGATTCAAATCTGTAGTTTGCACATGCAAGCTCAAATATAAGATGTTTGTTTCGTATATTCGTCCATGATTCTGAATTATGATTTATGGTTCTTTATAATGTATTTTTTTTCAAAAAAAAAAACAAAAATAATCATGATTCATGATTCTGAATACATGAACCAAAGTTTCTAGAATCACCAGAGAGAGAGAGAGCAAAAGTTAGCTTATATCCCAGCAGCTTAGAATTAACGTCAATGAAACTGGAGGCTTGTTGTTTTAGACCACAATAATGAAGATTGTGATCTTGCAGGCCTATTCTCCACTAGGATCTCCCGGGACTTGGCTAAAAGGGGAAATCTTGAAGGAACCAATACTGCTCGAAATCGCTGAGAAGCTAAACAAGTCGCCGGCACAAGTAGCTCTCCGTTGGGGTATTCAGAGTGGACACAACATCCTTCCAAAGAGTGTAAATGAGTCTAGGATCAAGGAAAACCTGAACCTGTTCGACTGGCGCATTCCTCAAGAACTCTTCTCAAAATTTGCAGGAATCTACCAGGTAAGCGTTTTTGCTTATTACAATACTTGGAATTGTACCTTTTTTTTGGCACGAGAAATTGTCTATTAATATCTCTGAGGGTGAATATACTTGCAGCAAAGGCTACTCCGAGGCGATTTCGCGATACATGAGAGCTTGAGTCCTTATAAAAGCCTACAAGAACTGTGGGATGGTGAAATGTGAGATGATAATTTAGGGTGCGTTTGGTTACAGTAAGAGAATGGTAACGAGAATGAGAATGAGAATATAATGGAAAAAAAAAGTTGCTTAATTTGTTTGGTTATAATTTTAAGAATTCTCTCGAATAAAACATAAATATTTTCATGTTGACAAACTTACCCTTATGCTATATATAACACTAATATTTTATCTATCAATATAATATATATAAAATGTAATATAATATAACGATATTATTAAAATTATTAATATAATTATAATATTATATAATATATTATGAGATTATATAATAAACAATAATAATTTAATTATAATATAATTAAAAATTACAACTATATTATATTATACTATAATATAATATATATATATATAATTACAATATAAATAATTATTATTATATTATTATTATATATTATATTATAGTATAGTATTAAGATATAACTACTATATAATATATTTTAATTATATTATAATACTGAAAGGTAATTATGAAAAAAAATAAAAAATAAAAAAATTTAGAATGGTTATTCCTCCCATATGAGGAAGGAATGATGATTCACCCAAAATGGGTGAATAGCCATTTCTCTTGAATGATCATTCATTTCTTATAAATCTAACCAAACATTAAATTAGAATTTCATTCCATTATATTACATTCCTTCTCACCCAACTAAACACACCCCTAGAGTCCTCTTGCATTCCAACTTCTTCTTGGATTGTTTTGTCACTAGATTGCAACTACAACATGTTATACACTAATGTACGGTCTTTTCAAACCTGTATGAAATTTTCTCCGAGCCAATGATGTAGCCAAATTTAAGTATTGTTAGCAATTGAGAGTTGGTTGGAAAATTCAACATACATTTTTCATGAAACTCCGATTTCTAAATGAAAATGCAGCTGCTATTAACTGGCAGAGAATGAGTTTTCGTCTTATAGAATGTCTGAATTTGATGCATCAAGATGTGAACAGAGCAATGTGAATTTTGTGTGCGCTCTACTAATTGGGGCCATTCCTTGAATTAAAATGTGAATGTAAAGTATTTTTGTTTCTTAAAAATGTGAATCTAACCAAATATCAAACTAGTATTTTTGTTTCTTAAAAATATAGAAAGGAGATTATCATATTTTTCTTTGATAGAGTACCATTTTAGGATCAACATGATTGTGCATCCTGATACATTAAAAAAGCTAGAGCTTTTCACGTAAAACCAACATTATTTAGGAAAACGTCTATCAACAAGGGAAACGTGTATGGAAAATGATAATGGCACAACACTAAAAAACGACAAAAAATTAAAAGGACAATAGAGAAAAGGACAATGTAAGATACAACAAAATAAAAATAAAAAAAAGGGCAATCGTTTATCTATATGTATATATATTCACGTCATGAAAGGGAAAGAAAATAGGAATATTAATTTTCTTTCCTTTATAATCACATGTCTACTTACGAAATGAGAAATACTAGAATAATGGCCCCACACAACATAGAGAATGAACAAAAAGAATAACAATTCTTACATCCACTTCTTACTGATTTTTTTTTTTTTTAAAAGGAATGAACATAAAATTTACTCAAACACCCCTTATAAGTTCACACGTCATAAGCCAATAATTATATACCTATATATATTTTAGTAAATTACATTGTTAGCGTTACATTTTAATAAGTATAGTAAACACACAAGAAAAGAAACAAGATTGTTTCCGATTAATACAACATTAAAGGCTCGTTCACTTTGCGAATTCGAGTTTTCAATTCGAACTGAGATGTGACATTTTCTAAGAGCTTTTTATTATAGAAACTTAAAACTGAAAATTCGAATCGGTGAAATGAACGAGGGATAAATAGACAAGCAGACACTCTTATTACATTATTGTCCTTCCGAATTCCTTTACCTTTCCCTTGCATTCCTTCATAGTCTGATAAACGCACTAGACACATTAGAAGGGGTATGAATGCTCTGTTTTTGCGAACTTCACCTGCAGTTTGTTATCTCTCGCGAGTGTCTTTTAAGTTACGCCGCTAATAAAAATTTGGCCATAGTAACTTAAGAAAGTGATTATATGCTCAAAAGTCATAACGTTGTTCAGTAACAAGAAGAAGAAGAATACTCCATTAAATGTCAATGTTGATACGCCCAGTAAAATTTTTCCCTTGTCATCCCTGTGGTGAGTAATACAACTCCAAGGAAAAGAAAAATAGAAGGTAATAATGATAGTAATGTAATACAACCAAAAAGGACAGACTGAATGAGGGGTTAAAAATCCGACAAAGGGGTTTAAAATAAGGATTAAATTGCATAACAATACTATGGAATATGATCTCTAAGGGCTAAGAATAAGGAAGTTCACATTAGTAATTTTTTGGCTTCTAATGACTACAACAATATCTCCCCTCATGGCTAGGCTTTCAAAAGGAGATGGCTAGGCTTTCAAAAGGAGATCCTTTTGGCTTTGGTTGATCACTTCATAACCATCTACTATCTTCCCATTCCCTTTAAAAGTCCTGCATTTCATTAACAAAGAGCAACCATGTGAATCATATGAATACTTGTAAAAAATGTGATCATAATGTGAAGGCAAGAAAGATTTATGCAGAGTTGTCATACCATCTTGCTGTCAACAATCCTTCGACCCCAACAGGATCTCGAGCCTGAATCTGGCTATCAGGTTTCCCAACCTGCTCAGCCATGAGAGTAAACCAATAAAAAAACAAGAAAATCTTCCTCTCAGATTTCATATCCAAGCAAAACTAGTGAAGACCCTCATACCTCTGCAGTAAGTTCAGAGTGTGCTCCATTGCAGGATCTTGTTCGTCCATTATGGAATAGCGCGACACTGGTCATGTAAGAGTATATCCACACATATTAAGATTCACAACACGAAAAGTTAATTAAAATAAGAAAAGGAGGAAAGAAAACTGCTTTGAACTTTGCAGTGATTTAATACTAGAGGATGTTGCAAAGAGATTTCACGGTAAGAAAAGCAAAGCAATATTAGAACACTAAATCTTAAACGTCTATTTGGAGCTACACAAGTATTATTTTGAAGAGCAATTAGTTTTGCATAAAGTTACCGGGATTTAGACACGGAAAACTCTTGACAAAACACTAAATTAGGCATTTAGGTAGACAACGTTTCTATGTTTCTGGTTTACTTAAGCTAGTTGGCATTAAACAGAAATTGTGGCTTTGTTTCTTTATTGTTTTCACAAGTCAGTCATCCCGTGAGAATAAAGCCGTTTTCCACTACTTAAGATTTCCATGAAGAGAAGAACCATGACATGACTGACTGCTTAATCAAGTCTACCTAAGTAATAGCAGTAGTCCTAATTGTTATCGAAAGATATCTATAAAAAAAAAAAAAAATTACCTGTGTGCCTTATTTAAGAAAAGTTCAGCAGCTTCATCATCTTCTGTGATAATGCAATCAGCATGAGCACTGCAACAGAGACGGTCAGAAGAAAGAAAGGCAATGGGTAAAACAACGTTTGGCCACATTAGCGTTGAACTCTGCTAGAACTGAAAAGAAATGAGCGTAAAGATAAACGTACCTTCCACGATGGTGAATATGACCAATAGCAGCAAAAATATCCTCAACAATCTCAACTGTGCAAGTCATTGTATTGTACTCAAGATGGAAAGGACTTGCCTCCGCAATACTCAGCAACGTACTCGCTTTAGGTCCACCATATAGAGAAAAACCTGCAACCAATAGTTTGCATTTGTCAAGTAGTTTTGTTTCAGTTTTCTTAACAGTGCATATCTCGTTTTAATTCGTCAAAGCAATAAGGGAAGAAAAAATAAGCATATCTTGGTATCAAAACTAACATGATATAGCCATACCTTTATGTTGCAGTTCTTTAATAAGTTCACTAAATCCACTGTTACTTGACAAATCTTTGTGTACAAGAAGAGTTTTCTGGGGAAGGCATGATAAATAAATCTAGTTGAGCGTATGATGCCAAGATATAGAAATAGGCTTATTCCAATAACAGTATGCATATTCTTCTATACGAGCCAAAGTACTGAAAGCCAAAGCCATATTAAATAAGTAAAAGGCATTGTGATTGCTTACCATTCCGTTACAGGCGATAGGATAATCAATCTTCGCATCTAAAATAAGGCTCCTCGCCATATCCATACAAGCCAACTTGTCAATGTAAACATGACAAATCATATCTGCAAAGAAAAATTGACTTAGCTAATAGCTCCCGTTTATAGGTTTTCAGTTATGGTTTGAGTATGTAATTTATCTTTACCAGCATGACCAAGAACAGGAATCTTTGTTGATTCCTTGATTTGAGAAACAAGGTTACTGTTGCCTCTAGGGATCACAAGATCTATTACTTCATCAAGCTGTGGCAAAATGTTTGTCAAAAGTCCGCCTATAAGACAATATAAAGTTTTTGAATTGTTTCTGCATACCTTGAGCAGATCAGGAATTTCCTCTTTTGAAGTCACAAGTCCAATAAGGTCGTCACCAACCGTACTTGGGATTGCTGACGTGATAACCTAGAAAAAGAAGAAAGTAATAAACTAAGCACACAGAAACTCGGCACATACTTGACCAAAAAGCAACCGTACAACAACAACAACAACAACAAATACAAGCCTTAATAACAAATTAATTGGGATCAGCTATATAGATTTCTCGTTTCTAATCTGCTCTATTAAACATGAGACCCCCTGAAGCTCTAGATCTTGAAAGTCGTGCCTAACTACGCCAACCCAAGTAATTCTTGGTCTACCCCTCGCTTTCCTAGTACTAGGTATTTGGATGTTCACCCATGTACGAACAGGTGCATCTAACGATCTACGTTGTACATGCCCGTACCACCTCAGACGGTTTTCCCGCACCTTATTTTCTATTGGTGTTACACCTACTTTACTATGAATAACTTCATTCCGTATGCGATCCATCCTCGTATGGCCACTCATCCATCTTAACATACGCATCTCCTCCACACTCATCTTGTATATTTGTTGTCTCTTGATGGCCCAACATTCACTACCATATAATATAGTTAGGCGAATTGTTGTCCTATAGAATTTTTCTTTCAACTTAATAGGCATCTTATCATCACATAAAACTCCCGTGACATTCTTCCACTTAATCCACTCCGCCTTAATCCTATGTCCAAGAAGCAACCTTATTCCTTAAAATGATTCTCTTTCATTGCCAATGGTATATGAAAGAAGAAGGGAACACTGAAGTCAAAAGTCTCAAACCTTGTGCAAGATTGCATTTGATCGCTTGGCTTCTGTTTCGCCTTTAAGCAGAAGGCCATTGCCAGTCCGAATTGCTAACGAGGCTATCTGTTGATCCAATGGGAAATGATTAATGATAAAAAGAAAAAACAATTCCACTTCAAATTTCTTTCCCCTTTTTTTTATTCATGCTATTTTTTAATCTATTCATCTATTTCCATCTGTACTAAATTTTTTCTTCCTTTACAATTTTGTAGTTCTCAATTAACTTAAAAGCATCATCGAACACTTCAATTCCTACTTTAGACCTTATCTGATCAATTCAAACATTTCCCACATTCTAATCTTTTGAGAACATTAACCGAATAAGTTACGGGAAAATAGAAATGACTACATACTGCAACAAAAATTAGTTTTATAAACATACCAACCATAGTTTTGCTTATACACATATTTTTAATCCTGATAAAATGTTCACAACCCCAAGAACAATAATTATAACATTCACCTGAACTAAGGCATCGGGCCGAGACTCAGAAACAACCAGAAGGACACCCAAAGGACAGGACACTTTCTCTGAGATAACTCCATCGGCCATCTGTGAGCAAAAGCAGTCATCAATAGTGTCAAAAATAACTAGTTATGCCAAAGAAAGGGGAGATCACTTAAGTCAACTACAACGAAGAGTTAAGCCATTTATTTGTGTCGAGTTGAGAAAACGCTGAATCTAAGAAATGAAGATGATTTGCAGACCTCTGTTCTCCCCAAAACATGACCAATAGGCTCTTCCATATCAGCAAGTTTTCGTATTGACGTTGCAAGGCTAGATATCTGCGAATAGAATTATCAATATCAAGAACAAGACATGGCAATTGTGCAGTAGAGAAACCCGACTTACGATATATGATGACATACACAAATTCCAATGCAAAACAAAATGTAAAAAAAAATAAAATAAAAGAAGAAGGAAAGTTTAATAATGCTTGCCTTCCCAGGCTTTAGGGTCAAACGAGAAACGAGTGCCTTGTCTTTCCCAGCTTCAAGAGCAGCAGCAATATCAGCTTCATTCTCAGATTTTATCAAACTTTCATTTGCCTCAAGTGCATCAGCTATGTCCACCAAAATTTGCTTCCTAGCTTCAGATTCTAGGGCCTAAAACAGAACAATTCAAATCACACTGCTGAAGCTTTATGGAAACCTACTTCTACGACTACATATGAGACTAAACAACATTAACGCAAAAACTTATAGAAGCTACAGAGGAAAATTAAAACATGTCGTTACTTACTTGAAGCCTCAGAGAACATTCCCGTGCTGCAACTGCCATCTCACGTGCGCACACTTCTTTAACCACAGGCCACAAATGTGCATGTTGATGAAAGACAGTACCAACACGCCTTCCTTGAAGAACTTTGATGATATTTTCTGGGGCATAGCCACTGCAATAGAGTCGGAAACTGGTTTAGATAACCAAACAAAAAATGTACTATTGTCCTGAACAAGTTAACACCAACAAAATTAGTGAAAAAATATCTGTACCAAATGACTTTTGATCTTCATATGCATGTAAATATTTTCAATGCAAGAAATGAGTACATAAATCCATGCATATATATAGATGATAGTCAAAACATCTACAAGAAAAATATTGATGGAGACTGCAAATGTGATCAAATAAGCTAAACGAAAATTATAGTTTAGTCCAAACTCAGTAATTTCAATGAGGAGAAAATTGTACCTAGTGATGACAACAGGGATGCCAGCACTAGCAGCAGAAACAGCAGCATTGACCTTAGCAGTCATACCACCTCTGCCCAACCTCGACTTGTCTCCAAATGTGATCTCATCTTGATGCTTCTCTTTGACATATGTATGGATTAGCTTTGATTTCGGGTCACTTGGAGGACCGCTATAGAGACCTTCAACATCACTCAACAACACTAACAGGTCAGCATTCAGTTGCTGCGCCAATAAGCCTGCCAAACTGTCATTATCCCAAAATATGCCCGAGGAGTCCTGCGAATAATACAGCGCAAAAGATCAGAACAACAGGCAAGAGTTAAAACATATTCAGATACAAAAGTAAGCTGCAACGGATAAATAAGAGTTGCATACCATCAATGGTTCTCTCCTAGTGCTGACAGCATCATTTTCATTGAAAATAGGAATAACCCTCAGAGACAACAAGGAATTCACGGTATCAGAAAGTTGTCTCCTGAAAGCTTGATCCATGAAAACTCCATCAGTCACGAGAAGTTGAGACGAGGTGACATCGAGCTGCGTAAGAAATCGATCGATATTAGCCACTTAGAAAGGTGTAAAAATAAGAGAAACAAGAAAAGACTGCAGACCAATGCAAACTAGATCAGTTTTGTCCCACCTGGCTAAACATTGTATCATAAAGAGCCATGAGACTGCCCTGCCCAACAGACGCACAAGCCTTTCCATCCTCGAAATTGTCTTGTATATATTGCAGATCAGCAAAGCTGTAAAAACATGTAACGCCAGATCATTAAAGCCTCGAAATCGTCTTGTATATACAGAAACATATTATTCAAGCAAACATATATATATATATAGTAAAATATAAATAATAAAATGTGGTATTTAACCTGGCATTGGCCAATCTCCTGTATCTTAGCCTTTGGCGGCCAAGACCAACCGCTCCTGATGACACCAAAATAACTTCATAGCCTTGAGAGTTTAATTCTTTAAGCTGTATTTATTAATTGACAAAATCATGATAACGTCAGTTCTAGAACAAATTTTATTAAAAACAAAAAAAAAAAGATTTTGTCACTCTTAATCTCCTATTATTTATTTATTTATTTATTTGTGTAATAGTGAAATTTGTGGGTCATAGATTTAGAAAAAGCAGAGCACCTGCTCACATAGAGCCCCAAGTCTTCCCAACGCCAATCTCCCATCACTTCTAGTGACCACAGCCGTTCCAACCTAAAATCAATTACTTAAACAAATCAGAAATAATAATTGATCATTACCATTTACTAATCCATATTCAAAATTGCCCTAAAAATTTATAAGCAAACACAAATAAATAAGCAAAAATGTCCCGTTTGTAAAAGGAAAACAAAAAATAGTTCTGAAATCGAGAATATTTCATAACTTCGAGAACTATTTAACTAAAACAAACTGAAATATTAAAAATTAAAAAAAAAAAAAAAAAACAAACAAACAAACGAGTATTCATAGACCAGACCTCTAAATTATTTAACCTAAAACGTCACGATATTGTCATTTCCTTCTTTTCGTATTGACCTATAAATGCTTCAAAAATTACAAAGAACCCTCTCACAAAATAGGATTTGTATATTTTGATTATAGATTAATTATTACTAAACCCCATATTAATTCAATTCATCCACACACTTCGATATATGTGTATATACATATACATATACATATATAAATATACATGTGTGTGTGTGTATAGACTATATATCAGACTAGTAGTCCTAATATATATGGTCTGTTTGGATGAAATTACATATATTTGACAGAACTTGCTCTTAAAAAACATCGAATCCATCTTTTTAAAAAGAAAAAGAAAACTCATCAAATCCAAAAAAAAAAAAAAAAGGCAAGAAAAATCATCATAAATTTAAAAATAAAAGGAAGAAAAACGCTCTTAATATGCACTTCTTGCACAGACGGATGAACAACAAAAGGATGATCTGAAACAGAACATGCCAGTTCATTTGGTGAAAGAAAATGCCGAGAGCGATCTTGAAAAAAAAAAAAAAAACCAAAACAAAACAAAACAAAAAAAACACCAAAATTAACGAAAACAAGAATTAATCAGCAAAGAATTAAAAAACAACGATTAAAGTTGCGATAATATCGACCTTAACAACAAGACGCTTCACACTTTTGACAAAAGCTCTAGTAGGATCCATGGTGGTGGAATCCATTATCAAAGGAGAAGCGTGTTGATGCAAAGTCACAACCAAACAGAGATGATAGAGTGATGGAGAGAGAGATAGAGAAAGTTAGAGAGAGAAAATCGGTTATGAAACTGAAACTCGTATTTATAGCACAAGTTCAGAAGCAAAATGGTATTGTGACTGCAAAAAGTGAAAATAAAAATAAAATAAACATGTGAAGGGCAAAAACGTCGTTGAGTGAGAGAGAAAGAGAAGCTACGCCCGAAAATCGAGGCTACGATGACACGTAATCTAACAAACCGACGTGGGGAATCGAGATGGCAGAGGTCGCTTGTAAGGTGGGTGTCGTTTTTCCCCTTCTTTTTGTTTTGTTTTTTTATTTATTTATTTATTATTTTTTTAAAAGTGTGTGTGGGTTTGCAATTAGTGAAGATTCGTACAGTGGGTCACTGCAGTACTAGGAGTAGTATTGGACCAACTTTTTTTGTTTTTTGGTTTTTTTTTTTTTTTTCGGCTAATCAAGCAGTATTGGCCAACTTGTTTCTTTGTCGTTGGGCAGCCTCTTGCGACTGTCATCCCAAACTTTGGATTTTCCGTGACAAAAGCTCGAAAACTACTTGCTACGTGGCGAATTGCATATGATGTTTCAAACTGATAATTGTCTCTCAATCATACATATATGTCTTTGCGTTTGTTTTCATGTGTGATTTTCTTTTTTCTAATTTTTATTTTTATTCAATAATTATCTAAGGAAAATCGTGTTCAATTTTAATTGGTGGCAGGGAACGATATTATTTTTATTAGGTTCATTTTTAACGTTATTAGGTTAAATGTTCTTTACGCAGTTTTATTATGTTCGACATTAAGTCTATTTATGTATAATAAAATTATCGTGTTTTAGATACATACTCATTAGATTCCTAATTTTTATGTCAGATATTTAATCCAACTAAATTCTTTCAGTAAATACTTCAAATACGATTTAGATATAAGCAATTAGTCTTTATAGAATTACTTTTTTGTTTCTAATTTTTATTCAATAGTAAAAGCACAATAATGATGGTTATTTTATATCTAGTAATTTTCTCGCACGAAAATTGTGTTCGAATTTTTTGTTCAATTCTAGTTGGTGGTAGTTCGGAATTATCATATTATTAATTATATTTATTTCTAATGTGATAGGGCAAAATGTTTATTAGATTATCGTACTTTTATTGTGTTTGATAGTAAGTGTGTTTACGTATTATGGGGTTTCATCCAACAAATATGTTTTTATACCTCTATGTTTTGTCACATTGTATTAGTAAGTATTTTAATTGGGTCTAGATACATGCAGTTAACACTTCTCTAACGGCGTCTTTTCATTAGATTCCCGCTATCGCATTTATGTCAGATTTCTGTTGCGGCTAATAATATAAGTACTTTCCGTACAATTTAGATACATGCGGTTAATACTTCCATAACGGCGTATTCGTATTATATTCTCACGTATCGCATTTATATCAGATTTTGTTTTTAACTAATAGTAATTACTTTCGCACAATTTAGATATATGCCATCATTATTTTTGGAATCATCATACTTTTATTAGATTTTATAGTTAAGTATTTTCAAGATGACCTAGATAGAGGGACGGAGCGACCTACGCCCTATTCGGTCCTTCAAATATTTTTAAAAATTAATTACTATATTTGTTTTGTCTTATTTTGCCCTAATCTTAAAAATTCTCTAATTATGTGTTTTACGCTAAATGTTTTTAAAAGGTTTCACTTATACTGCAAGTTCAAGATAAAATTTGTTACTTTGCCCCACTAAAATTTCTATTTTTAAGTTTTTTTGTAGAATGATTCAAAATTATTTCCTCCTTTTTGCTTGTACCCATTATTTAAAATTTAAAAACTCTGTACATCACCGAGTATATCGGGAGCCGATGGAGATCCTAGGTACAACTGGGCGGACAATTGCTGATTTTCAGAGTTGTTGGGATCCGGTGGCCAAACATCAGACTACGGTGCCTGTTAGTGAAGTACGCTAGAAACCTCCGGTGGCTGGACTTCTGAAGCTTAATACTGATGTAGCAGTTCGAGAGGGTACGAGTTCCATTGGGATAGGTGCTGTCATCAGGGATGGGGAAGGAATAGTTTGTGCTTGTCTGGCGAAGAGGATTGCGGGCTCTTTCTCACCGTTTTTAGCTAAATGCATGGCCCTTCGGGAAGGCCTAATTTTTGCACAAGAGCAGGGGTTATCCATCAGCGTGGCTGAAGTTGATGCTGTCCGTGTAGTTCAAGCGGTCAAGGAAAGCTCAACGATGGGCGAAGAAGGTGTTATTATAGAGGATATTGTTCGGTTATTATCCTCTATGGGGAGGTGGGAGTGCTCTCATATAAACAGGAATGGTAATAAAGTTGCTCATGTTTTAGCTTCCTTTGGTTTTAATTGTTCACGGGATTTTATTGGGATTTATATGATCCCTTACTTTGTATCTTCGGTTGTACTTGCCGATTAAGTCGTTTTCATGTTCCAAAAAAAAAAATTTAAAAACTCAAACAAACAAAAATTAGGAGTCAACATTACTCTAGGTTATATGTTTGGAAGAAGAAAAGATAATATATAAATATATATTAATTAAAAAATAAAAGAAAAAAAAAAAGAAATGTGAGATAGTTACAAAATTTATTGTACAATTAATTAGTTTAAACATTTAATTTAACCCAAGCTTGAAGAAACTTTCTGACTTTGTCCCTATTTAAGTATTTGGAGACATATCAAGATATTTTGACATATTAATATCAACATGGTATCCATGAAAATACTACACCATAAGTTCTCACTTAGCACATTATGTTGTCATATTGGAATTCGTAAATGATAACTTTTACTAATAATCTTCAGTACTTTATGCTCATATCTTTCCTAATCTATCGAGAGTGTTACGTGGTTGATTGGCGTGGTCGATCAATATGGTGACTCGGTTGAACAACCGAACAAGGTCAATGTTGAAGATTTGCCAAGCTAGGGCATCTATGAGACTTGAATCACAAATGTGATGATTGAATAATGAACCGAATATTCCCACCCCAAGCGGCATCTCGGTGAGTAGCTATCCCTCGAGGAGGTTGAGCAGCTTCTCAACTCCTCCGAGAAACACCTAACAAGAAATCTCCACGTGTCAGTAATTGTTGGGTAAATACCTCAAATTAGTTTTCGAAATGTTATTATTTTATGTTGTAGATAAGTTATTATTTTCAGTTTTTGGTTGAGAGTTATTTTATGGTTTAAATTATTAGGAGTTTATAAATAAGTATTTTATGTAAGACTTTATATGTGTTAAGAGAAAAGTACAAAGAAAGAGTGCCTCCTTCTAAGAGAGAGAGAAAAGTGATGAGAGAGATAGACAATGGTGTAAGGAGTTTTGGGTAGTGAGAGAAGTGATCAAATGTATTATTGAGTGTGTAATTCTGAAACTGTTAGTGAATTTTTTTTCTTCCTCTTCTGTGGACGTAGAAAATTTTTCCGAACCACTTGAATATTTGTCTTTTATGTTTTTTTTTTTTTTTTGCTGCGTGGGTGTAGGAGTATGTTTTTTCCCAACAGTTACTCTGCAATACTTCTTATAATAGAATAAGAAATGTTAGCAACACATTTTATGTTACTTTTTGTGTTGCTCTCTACATTTATTGTTTGATAAGAGGACTCTATTAATATAATATATTATTATTTAAACAAAAATGAAATAGTGAATTAGTCCACGTGTTGTAGAGAATAATAAAAAAAAATAAGAAAAAGAGTGACATTAACCTTTCTTCAACAGAATACCTAACTAATTGGGCCGATTAGCGAGTATCAAAACATGCGGTACGTATTACGTCTCATAAATAATTATTTCATGTAACACTAACGCATAAAGGACGAAACTTTTTACTCATTTCAACATTATGGCCGTAACGTCTTTTATTGATGTCAATTTTTAAGGTAATCAATTTAAACTTTATAGAACTTTTGTCAAATCAAGTAAATCACTCAGCGATATATTGATCTTAAGAACATTTAAACTGATAAAGAAAAGTTTTAGAAACATTTTAATACCATAATAAGAAACCTGTGAAACCACATCCATCACTCGCTACTAAAAGTATTGGATTTTACAACTCATATAATGAGAAAACCGTGTCGTATCTACAACATCCTAAGTGACTGATATATATATATATAAATATACACACACATATATATATATATATATAGATATGCATAATCAAATCATCTGTCATGTTAATCAAAGTTATCGTAGTACCAATCAGATCATGATTTTACTTAAGTTTTCATAATTTAATCGGTAGTACCTAATGCCTATCGTCATACAGGGATAATATGTTATCACTGATGTTTAGAAGGACATTGCATGTTCTTTTCGTTTTTACCCGCTGCATGTGTCACGTGCAGATGCAAACAAAAAGGTCGCTCTCAAATTCCTGACACCTATGGTGATGTACAACATTTTAGCTAATTCTTTTCAA